TGTATTTCAAAAACAAAGCACTAAAAAAAAAAAAAAAAAAAAAAAAAAAAAAAAAAAAAAAAAAAAAAACAGTAAAAAATAAATAAATAAATAAATAAATTAAAAAAAAAAAAAAAAAGAATATGGCAGCTCCTGTAACAAACAATGTAATTGGATTCACAGGGAAGGAGAGTTTCCGGAAGTAATGGAAAACAATTCCAGAAAAGCAAAGGCTTGCCAGGAAATCCTAATAGACATCAACCATACCAGTTAAATCACGGATGTATTTTTTTAGCAGCCATTGAATGGTTCCTCTTATGAGCTTCCGATCTTAGATTGAGTTCCCAAACAGACTCTTAGGTGGAAAATTGAGTGCAGGAGGATCTCAGACAGTGTTCTCAGGAGATATTTTACCACTAAGGACATGAAGGAGGCAGGGCTGGGCAGAGGGAGGAGCCGACCGCAATGGACTTGCAGCTGAGAACTGAGCTCTCAGGCAATCCTGCGGGGAGGTCTGGAGCTGGGACAGCCCTTCAGAGTTGCTCTGAACTGAAGCTCGGGGGTAGGCCTTCATACAGCCACATCAGTCAAGATGAGACATTACCTTGCACAGTTTCCTACAGCAGAGGTGAAGGACACAGCTGTGAACCTCTGGCAGCCCATATTCCCAGTGGTCAGGATGGATGGATGTGCCCCAGCCCTAATGAGGGGATCGGGGTGGGCACCCAGCATGTCAAAGGGGTAGAGCAGAGTTAAGCCCACCCCTTCCTCCTTTTCAAAAGCATAGTAATCATCTATTTTTAAGATTTTAAAGGTATAGTTTACACTCAAAAGTAAAATAAGCATAACTATGATTCAGAAAAAGAAAATCTAGTGACAAGCAAGGACTATTGACCTGCTGGGCTCTTGGATCAGAAGCAGTGAATGCTTGGGCACCTGGCTGGTTCCAAAGGTTAAGCATCTGACTCTTGATTTCAGCCCAGATCATGATCTCATAGTTTGTGGGTTCGAGCCCCACACTGGGCTCAGCACTGACAGTGCAGACCTTGCTCTGGATTCTTGCTTTCCAGCTCACTGCCCCTCACCCCTACTCAAAATAAATAATTTTTTTTTTTTTTAAGTAGTGAATGCTGGCTACAGCATGGGGCTAGGGAGAGAAAGTCTAGAACCTGGGAAATGGTGGCTCCTAGCACAGCTCTGTCTGTTGGTAAAAGTTAGTAGAAGATTTAGCCACCCAATATACTCAGTACAACCAAAGGTTCACACTCAATAGGAGTGAATGCTTGGGTTACCCAACCAGTAAACAAATCAGAACACACTGAGGTGCTGGCTGAGAGGAAAAGGTAGTAGAATGGGAGAATGGGTAGTAGAAAAGTTCTAAATATCAACTCTAATCTTCTAGTCAAGTACAAAAATGAGAATTGTAGTAACCATATATATTTTTGCCTTCTTTTATCTCTACATCTTTCCATCTATCTTTTCCCTATTTTATACAAGGTATATTGAGGCGATAAACTTTTAATGTGTTTTTTAGGTTATAGGATACCAAGCTGAGGTTGTGACTTTATTAAAAGGTTTGAACGTCACTCAGAACCAAAGATGAAAGTATGTCTTGAACCAAGGGTGATGATTAACACGGTTCTATAAGCTCACTGCCAGAAAGTGGAGGAGGGGAGGAGGGGAAACATACCCCAGAAATGGTTACATTGATTGATGGGAAGCTGGATCTCTCTTTTCTGGGGAGAAAATGTGTTTCCACTGGACTGGGAGACGGTTGTGTCACCTTAGGCAGGAGCATATTATTGCTGTTGTTTGACATTTTAAATATGGATAGAAGTATATAAATAAAAACTAGCCATATAACATTAGAGATAAGCCACAGTTTACCATACTATTCCCCCATCCTCAAGCATTTAAGTTATTTTAAGTTATTTCCAGTTACTGCCACTACAGATTACATGGTGTTAACACTTCCCATGTTTTGTAATTTTTTAATAGAGTTGCAGAATTGGGATCCCAAGGATGTATTTCTAACCTGTGAAAGAATTCCTTTTCTCTTTCTGGAAGAGTGGTCAGCCGGGCCAGAAAACCAACCACTGGTGGGCCCTTAGTACCTCAGTCTTAATGCCTGTTCATTGACTTCCCTGACTCTGCATGCTAAAATCTTCATACTCAGAAGAGGGGGGGCAGCAAGAGAAAGCTCCTTCCCAAGATGGGATTGTATTCCTATTTACTCATTCAACAAAGTTAGGAGAAACCGCTGAATACTGTGCCCTAAGAGTGCTTTGTTTACCACAAAATAAACTTTTAGCACTCTTCTAGAAAAGATATAGAATTCCATGGCATACCTTTTGTCCTCATTCCATCTTTTTTTTCCATCCTTTTTTAATTATTTATTTTTCACCTATTTCAAATTTCTTTACTCATACTCTATTGCAGGTGCTTTAAATTCTTCATGTCACAAAGAAGAGAAAGGTGAATTAAAGTACATCTGCATACTTACAACTGCAATAAACAGCATACCGCCAAGTGAAGAGTAGATTAAACAATAAAGACATATAATCTTTCAAATAGCAAGTCTGAAGGCACTAGTTTCAAGAATTGGTCCAGCCTCTCAGTGATGTCATCCAGGTCCCAGGTTCTTTTCATCCTTTTGCTCTGACATCCTCTACACACTGGATTTTCAATCTCTGGTTGCCTCATGGTGGTGTGATGGCTACAACAATGCCAACTATCATGTCCCCGCTCCACAGTGCATAACACTGAACTCGTAACACATAACTCTCTCATTGAAAGAGAGAAAAAATAGCCTTCTCATACAGATCTCTCTAAAATGGAGAAAAACCTTTCCCATCCCAGCAGACTTCTCTTATGTCTCATTGACCAGAACTGAGTCACATGAATACTATTATCTGCAAATACATGGAGAAAATGAGAATCCGGCATTTTGGGCTGGTTCAAGAAAGATGGACTCTCCTAGAAGGGAAGAGGTGATAAAAATATGTGTTGAGTAGACAACCGGGCGACTAGAGGATTATGGGTTGGGGCTGGAGGGGAGTAGAGGTATGTAGAGTATGTATGTAGAGAGAGTAGAGATATGTTTACATATCTATATAAAGGCAAAGCCCTCTTTAAAAGCTTTGAAGCCCAAATTTCACCTGCAATGTTTCCATCTAACTATGTATCACAACATATGGTTCACAACACTCACACACGTTCTCTCTCCCTTCTCTTGTCACTCCTCTATCCCTCTCACACACAAGAGGCCTCCAATAAACTTCCTGCATATTTTCTAATTTTTTCATTTTAACACTGTCAGTGATGTAATATCTAATTGCTCTTTGCTTGGAATGGCTGACGTTAGCAGACATATTTACATTTCCTTTCTAGATAATACACCTTCAGCCTAACAACAATGAAATGTGTCTAGAAGTCTAATGAGTCACTATGAGTTAGCTGCTATATGTAATTCAGAAAAAAAACTATAAGAACCTTATATTCAAATAGAATTATAAAATACCTACTTCTTAATACATAATGTTCCACCATCTACTAACGATTCTCATATCCATTATCTTATTAATCCTCACAAGGACGCTGTAAAGTTAGTTTCATTAGCATTTTACAGATGAAGAAACAACTGGTCATTAGAATTAAGTGACCTTGGCCAGTCACAGATAAGTGACAGACCAGGACTTTAACTCACTTATTGAGACATTATACCAATTGCTTTTAGGTTCTACAGAAGTAGGAAAGAATCCAGTGATTTCTCATAGTTTACTATATGAATTATGAAACTCTAGGCATGTCATTGAAACTCTGTGATCCTTCGTATTTTGTCCTATAAATTAGGACCTTAAGTAGATTAAAGGCTCCCACCACTAGTATAGCAAACAGTAAAGATGACCTAGTAAATCTCTGAGCTTCACCTGAACAGTAGCTGAACAATTACCACTGCCACAATTCCTTTCCTTCCAATCCTTATCCCTGCTATAGTCTTATTCATACATTTATTCAAAACACATTTATGAAGCAACTCCCATGGGCCAGAAACTTTCAGGAAGAAAGGTAAAGCAACTGGAACAGAGTTCTTCCCCCATGCCTAGGCTTTCATTGTCAATAGCGTTATACCCCAGCCCTGATTATCAAAATTTTATGTAAAGATTAAAAGTGGTCAATTTCTGATGTTTCTTTGTGTTCTAAAAGGCTGTGAACCTATGACTTTAGACATGAGAAATCTAATTAGGAGGGGGAAAGACTGAGTGATTATAGGGGCACCTGGGTGGCTAGACAGTTGAGTGTGGCTGACTCATTAATTTCAGCTCAGATCATGATCTCACAGCTCCTGAGTTTGAGCCCCGTACTCACATTGTGAGCCTGCAAGGGGATTCTCTCTCTCTGTCCCTCTGTACTCACTCACTCTCTTACTCTCACTTTCTCAAGGTAAATAAATTTAAAAAAGAGAAAAAGAGAGTGTGCCATTATACGAAAGAAGAAACAGTAAGGAGAGAAATGATCAGTGAAAGGAAACAACTAAAGCCAGCTCAGTCTTTTGCTATGACCACTTCCTCAGACAACACACAGCTTCACAGCTGGGGTGAGGTCCACATGAGGCCAGCACTTCCACAGACCCAAATGTGGCCTTATCACATCAGCCACATCTTCCCACATGTCCACTGTGCCCTGCTCACCAGATCAATGCCAGAGCTTGATGATCAGATCACAGTTTGTACTACAGGATCCACGTGGGACCCTGGGTGCAGCCCTGCACTGTGCCTGTGAATTCTCAGATTTCCTAGTGGCAAAGATGGGTGGTGATGGATGTTTATGACTCCAGAGAGCCACTGTGAAGATTAATGACTTAATGTTTTGCAAAGTGTTTTTAAATCCCCAGATGAGAGCTGCTCGTACAGCTGGCTGCGGCATGATTAGCATTTGCTTGCTTTAAATTGGTTGCTCCCTTCATATTTCAAGACCCCAAAAAAGACCCAGATTAAAGGAAATGCCCAGGAGTCCACTGATGGCTTTTAGATTGCACTTCCCCAGAGGCTGATGGGCTGACAGAGACAGAACTCTCCTTTTCAGCACCACCTTTACAGAGACACACTGTATCTTTACGTTCAGATGTGGGATCAAGATCATGAAAGTCACATTTGAACCAACATCTGATGTCCCCCTTGAGGCCACCGTGCAGACTGCCAGCATGCTGTTCTGCTTTTGGAACATTTCCAGGCTAATAGCAAAATGATTTCTTATGGGACTACTGGAGGGGGAAACACTGAGTGGAGATTCATCTTGCTATTTAGAAAACTGAATTAGTAAATAAGTTTGAGTGATAATTACAGAAAATCCAAACTGGTTTAATATGTGTGGCTTCTAATGATGTGAAAATTGGAGTGCCAGGGTGGCTCAAGTCAGTTAAGCATCTGACTTCACCTCAGGTCATGATCTCAGTCACGGTTCATTGGTTTGAGCCCCATGTTGGGCTCTGTGCTGACAGCTCAGAGCCCGGAGCCTGCTTCAGATTCTGTGTCTCCCTCTCTCTCTGCCCCTCCCCTGCTCATGCTCTCTCTCTCCCAAATTAAAATAAACATTAAAAAATTTTTTTAAATGATGTGAAAGTTGATTAAACTGTACTTACAATCTGATTATCCTTAGAAAACCTAGAAAAAAGACGAGTTTTGGAATTCTAAGTTATTTCAAGATTGATTTTTGGGGGTGTTGCCCATTTCAGTAACTGACATTTTAAAAGATAAAACTAAATTAAATCGGGGCACGTGGGTGGCTCAGTTGGTTAAGCGTCCGACTTCGGCTCGGGTCATGATCTCCCAGTCCGTGTGTTCAAGCCCCACATCGGGTTCTTGGCTAGCTGACATTTCAGAGCCTGGAGCCTGCTTCAGATTCTGTGTCTCCCTCTTTCTCTGCCCCTCCCCCACTCACACTCTGTCTTTCTCTGTCTCTCAAAATTGAATAAACATTAAAAAAAAATTAATAAATTGCATTGATTCAATAGAGAGAAAATAAAATTACTGTATTGCTATTCCCCTGTGAAGCATTTTCCCTGGCCTTTCAAGTTTTGTTAAAGAATTATTAAAAGCACTGAAATGAGCAAGACGTATAATTTATAATTATGTGACCCATGCACACACTAGAAGGTTTCCATAGTACCACTAGTACAGATTTGGAAGACAACCTTGAAGTAGTTGTAAGTGCAATGAAAATCTGCATTTGAAAAGTTCCAATGGCTTGTGGTGTCAGAGTTTTCACAAAAATAGAGACAGTAAACCCTTGCCCTACCAATAAATTAGATTTTAAATGAATAGCTAATAACAATGCATGAAGTATCACATGAATATTAGCAAAACATTATTGACTAAATGTACCAAATGTAGAATATTAGGAAAAATGGTGACTTCATCATGGCTTATTTTGAATTTTTAATTTTCTTAATATTTAGTTTAAGTCCAAGTGGCTTGAGGAATAATAATAAATTCTATACCCTTTGGCTTCTGGGATATTCTCAGTGGTCTTCAGTGAGTCTGTATCGAGAAAGAAAAAGAGAAACTTACAAAGGCCACCCTTTGACATCTCCCTATATTCCTGAATAAATTTCACAGGCGACTAGAAGTAATATTAAATAGTTAGGCTTCAATAAGTAATTCAGAGAATATTCTTTTGATCAGCTAAAAAGGAATCAGGGATTATCTGCCACTTAGCTATATTTTTACCATTAGAAGTAGCAATATTCACTGAGACAGAGGCCCAGAAAGTGGGAGGCAAAGCTACATCCACTCCCTTCTTACAGTGCTGGTCCATAATATGTAGGTGCCACGAGTATGACAGATGGGACCAGAGTACCCCAGTAAGCATATAATCTTAACTAAGAATGTGACTACTGCAAGTCTAGTGGTAGGGCCTTAATACTGAAGAACCAAGTTGCTACTAACCTAGAAACCCTGGGCAATGGCATATAACAATAATAATACTTATCAGACCTTTTCTTGAGAGTCTACCATATGACAGGCACATTGCAAACATTATCATTAATATTCACAATTCCATAAGTTCAAAATGATTATCCCCATTTTACAGATGAGAAAATCAAAGACCAAGAAATTACACCATTTGTCCCAGTTCAAGCAGTTAGCACAGCACAGGAAAAGCATAATTCCAGCATAAGCTACTCTCATATCCAAGGCCATGTACCAGACATCCCTACAAACTCAGTTAACCTGAACTGCTGAGTTGTAAACGTATGTTTTCATCTTGTATATTTACATATTTGGGTCTGTGTTATGGGCACAATCCTTAGAAACAAAAGTACAGATATCTTATAAAATAATGATCATATTGATTGTACACAGCACATATTGAGCGCTATCATCTGAGAAATTACTTTTGTGTCACTTTCCAGGTGTGATAGTCCACATGACACGGTAGGGAAAATCAAGGCTACTATACCTAAACCAATCATGGACAAAGGATTTTGGATCATCATGTCCAGCTTAGGTCAGTGATTTTCCAAGTATGTTCCTTGAGCCATCAGCACTACCTCAAAGCCCGTTAGGAACACCCCACCCTAGATCTGCTGAATCATATACTCTGGGAATGGGTCTCAGTAATGTTTAACAAGCCCCCTAGGTGAAAGTGACACATGCTGAAGTCTGGAGCACTTAGGCTTTGACCGATTCTGATTCAATCTCTGAAGCTAGAGCAAGATCACATCCCTGAGGACATGGGGCTCCACTAAACAAATGTGGGGCTCTCACAGCAAGAAAGGTGTCTGACACAGGGTCTCCGAGTCAAATGCTTTAGGGGGTCAGAGAAAGGTTAGAGGCCTCAAGGGAAGGTTCACAGGACCAAAAAGTCCCATATCAAAAAGCGGAAACAAAATGAGAGAAGGAAGTCACTATATTTCCTTTAGCCCAGAGCCACTTAACTGATTAGGATTCATTTGTTACAGATGAAGTAAAAATTCATTTCCCCAAATGTCAATCTAATATACATGAACACCCCCAACTCCTTCTTTTTCAATTATAAATATGCCTAAAGGGGAACTGTAATTTTAAAGTATCTCAGTGTGAACAAAGCAACTAATTCCCTTGAGGTTATTTTTCATATTTAGATTAACTTAGTGAGACTTTATATTACGCACATCATAGTTCCTCTGTATACCTAAATTATTACTACTTTTCTCAAATTGCCACTACAAATTTTAACAACAATATCTGGGGTGATATTTTTAACTATTGCTTTGGGGTTTTCTAATGAAATGAATACCAAAATGTGCAAATAAATAAATTAAAGACAAGTAACAGACTGGGGAGAATATTTGTAACACATAGAATAGAAAAGGAGTTAATATTCATTATATATAAAGAGTGCCTACCAATAAAAAAGAAAAACAACTCAGTAGAAAAATGAGCAAGGAAGTTAAACAGGTCATTCATTCATTGTTCAACAACTATTTTCTTTTATATTCATATCATTTGCATCCTGGCTCCATGCTTTCTAGTGGGTATGACATTGCCAGTTGTTGTTTTTGTCTTTAAGTAAACTCTATCCCAACGTGGGGCTTGAACTCATGACCTTGAGATCAAGAGTCACATGCTCTACCAACTGACCCAGCCAGACATCCTCAGGCTTTAGCACTTTATTTAACCTCTCTCTGATTTGATTTTCTCACCGGTCGTAACCAACAATTTTTTTAATGCTTATTTTTTTTATTTTTGAGAGAGTGCACATGTGTGCACACACATGCACAAGTGGGGGAGGGACAAAGAGAGAGGGGACAGAGGTTCCAAAGTGGGCTCTCTGCTGATAGCAGAGAACCCAACACAGGACTTGAACCCACGAACCATGAGGTCATGACCTGAGCCAAAGTCAGACACTTAACCGAATGAACCACCCAGGTGCCCCATCAGTCATAAGCTTCCTCATAACAGTTCCTACTTCTTAGGGCCTTTGTAAGTATTAAAATATATGTAAAGTATAATAAGGCTCAGAAAATGCTAGATATTGCTATTATTATGTTACATATTATAAGATAAACACTCTACTAGGCACTAGCAATTCGCAAAAGAAGAAAAACAAATGGCCAAAAAATAGTAAAAATGTTTGCTATCCAAGATATGCACAGGTTTGTGGGGAGATAGCATTCTTATACTTTGTCAGCATAAACTGGGGGCAAAGATTGTGAAATAGGTGGACAGTATCAACTTTAAATGCATATACCCTTTGATGTCAGAATTACAACACTAGAAATTTACCTGGGGGTGCTCACAAAAGCATGAAAATACTCTATTACAACATTTTTATAACAGTAAATAAAATTTGAAATATCCTGAATATCCATATACAGGGATGATTAAAAGAAATATGGTACATTCAAATAATGGAAACCCACTAACAAGAATAAGATAGGTGAGTAAGTACTAATATGAAGATATCTTCAAAAGATGGGGTGCCTGGGTGCCTCAGTCAGTTGGGCATCTGACTTCAGCTCTTGTCATGATCTCACAGTTTGTGGGTTCAAGCCCTGTGTCGGGCTCTGTGCTGATAGCCAGCTCAGAGCCTGGAGCCTGTTTCAGATTCTGTGTCTCCTTCTCTCTCTAACCCTCCCCTGCTCACACTATCTCTCTCAGAAATAAATAAACATTAAAAAAAATTCAAGGGGTGTCTGGGTGGCTCAGTTGGTTAAGCTTCTGACTTCAGCTCAGGTCATGATCTCACGGTTCGTGAGTTTGAGCCCCACGTCGGGCTCTGTGCTGACCGCTAGCTCAGAGCCTGGAGCCTATTTGATTCTGTGTCTCCCTCTCTCTCTGACTCTCCCCTGCTCATGCTGGCTCTCTCTCTCTCTCTCTCTCTCTCTCTCAGAAATAAATAAAACATTTAAAAAATTCAAAAGAATGTAATATGATCTTTTGGTGAACATCTTAAAAGGATTTATGCATATAATGCATATGCATGAAAATTTTCTAGAATAACTTGGTCCTTGGGATCCAAGAGATTTTGGGATGAAGAATTTGAGATTAGGATTGATGGATGTTAACTAAACTCATTGTGGCAAACATGTCACAATATATACATACATCAAATCATTATATTGTACACCTTGGACTACTACAATGTTATTTGTCAATCACATCTAAATAAAACTGGAAAAAAAGAAATAGAGATCAGGGGTAGGAGAAGGAGAGTTTCATTTTCATTTTTTCCTTTTTATACTATTGGAATTTTTCTGGGAATAGATATTATTCTTTCTATGAAATTGTGGATTGCCTTTTTCTTTATTCTTTCAATATTTTTAAAAAATCTAATTCAAGAAAAAAGAACAAGTATTTATTATCTCACACAGCTTCTGAGAATCCAGAATGCAAGAGCAGCTTATTGAGATGGTTCTAGCTGTGAGGCTGCAGTCAAGATGTAGGCTGGGGCTACAGACTCATCTGAAGGCATGGCTGGGACTAGGGGATCTGACTACAAGTTAACTGACATGTCTCTTGCTCGGAGGCTTCAGTTCTTCACTCTGTGGTCCTTCTCATAGGGAAGTTGGCCACCTCTCTCACTACATGGTCTCTGTATTTATACACCATTGCTTCTGCTTCATTCTCAGTCATTAGACGTGAACCACCCACATTCATGAAGAAGGGAATTAGAAGTATTAATGAACTTGTAGGGGTGCTTGGGTGGTTCTGTCAGTTAAGCATGTGACTCTTAGTTTCGGCTCAGGTCATGATCTCATGTTTCATGACTTCAAGGCCCACATTGGGCTTCGCGCTAACAGCAGGGAGCCTGCCTGGGATTCTCTCTCTCCCTGTCTCTCTGCCCCTCCTCTGCTCTGTTTCTCAAAATAAATAAACTTTAAAAAAAATTAAAAATAAGTATTAATGAACTTGTAGACATTTCAAAACCAAACAGAAGAGGAATATTTGGGAGGCAAATTTCAGAGGAGAGGGAAGCCAGAATCAACATATTGAAGTAGGTATGTGGAAAGAATACTAGCCTTGAAATCAGGAGAGCTGGTGTTTATCTCCTGACATACAGCCAGCACATAATATATGTTTATTAAATGAATGCATGAATAACAACTTTTCTGAGATTGTTTTCAAGTCTTCAGTCACGGGTATAAGAGCAGTCACCACATTACAGGGTTCTCCTGTGGTCTGAGTGGAATGATGGATATCAGAGCTCTTTGTAAATTTAACACTTGTAGCCGATGATGCTTGGAGGTAAACATGGTCTGGAACACGAAGAAGGGGCTCCAGCATACAGGAGTCCTTGCCCAATGCCAGGTATCTTTTCTACCTGTCTAGGTCCTAGGTCCTAGGATCTGAGGCAGTGGTCCAATTCCAGCCCTCTATCTTAGACCCAGTCCAGACTCCTTACAGTGTTCTACAACCAATTGTTGCTAGCATTTTATTTTATGAAACACTACTAACTACTTCCAATATTCTCCATCTCAATAAATGGAAGCTCCAGGGTCATCTGAGTGGCTCAGTCCATTGGGCGTCTGACTCTTGATTTCAGCTCAGGTCATGATCTCATGGTTCGTGGGTTCAAGCCCCTCATCGGGCTCTGTGCTGACAGTGCAGAGCCTACTTGGGATTCTCTCCCTCGCTCTCTCTCTCTGCCCCTCCTCTGCTAGCACTCTCTCTCTCTCTCTCTCAAAAATTAACTAAAAACATTAAAAAAAAACTTTTTTTAGAAAATGGCAGCTCCATTCCTCCCATTGTTCAGGCCAAAAACTTGGAGCCATTCTCAACATCTCTGTCCCTCTCCAATTCATTAGCAAATCCTTCTAACCATATCCAGGATGCAGTTGCTTCTCATCATTTCTATTAATACTACCCCTCCACCCCCCTGCCAAACATGTCACCTGATACATCAACCATGATTTCTTTACAAACTACAAAAACTTTAACAAGGCATTTGCTTGGGTTAACATCCAACTCTGGGTACAATTTCTTAAGCTGCCACCAGCATCATTTACAACATTTTCCACAGGTTACACAACAACTAGAAATGATGCATGCCCACATGCATGGCACTACGTTGCAGCCATGCCATGATGAGCAATCTGAGTATCATTTGTTTCTTGCATCCCAAGACCCAGGCCTGACCAAGGCCTACCATGGAATGTGACATCTAGAACTTCTAAGCTATTCCTGACAAGGGGGGAGCAGGTGACACTACCAAACAGTGAGATCTGCAGAGCAGTAAAATAAAGTATACATGGTCCTCTCTGATATTGTTGTACCATTGAATTGAATCAAGTCTTGAAAAGTTAAAGAAAGCATTCACTGCTTGAACTGTTAGTTGGCTTTTCTGTTGCAGCAAAAGCATCCTTGTCAATATAACAGCTATAACTAGAAAGGAGGGTGGCAACTTAAAATAAAAACAAATACAATATGCCAGTTAAAAAAAATCATAAAATGATGTTAGAAACCTAGCAGAGGAACAGAAAAGATGATAGGTACCAAAAATCTAAGATCAGCAGACATCAGCATTAAAGTTCTTAACTACAGAGAGAGAGAGAGAGAGAGAGAGAGAGAAGGTATACCAACTCTTTACAACAAAAAAAAATTTTCCTGATGCTAATTCCATTAGATACTTACCACAAGAAGAAAAAGGACACAGAATAACATAATGGAGGTAATGTATCTATGGCAAAAATAGTTGATGCCTCACCAAATATTCATGTGCTCCCCTCTCACCCACCCCTGTGAATTCCGGTGGGATCATATCACTAATTCTTTTTTTTTTAATGGGAAAATTTGTACCTTCTCCTGCTTTATTTAAGGCTGTGTTTTAGTCCCTGAACTGTGTCAAATTGTTCCTTTTTTAAAATTCTAATATAGTTAACATACAGTGTTATATTAGTTTCAGGGGTACAATATTGTGATTCAAAAATTCTATACACACACAGTGCTCATAATAAACGTACTCTTTAATCCTCTCGTTTTATTTTGCCCATCCTCCCACCCATCTCCCCTCTGGTAACCATCACTTTGTTCTCTATAGTTAAGAGTCTGTTCTTTGGTTTGTCTCTTCTTTTCTTTGTTCATTTGTTTTGTTTCTTAAATTCTACTTATGAGTAACATCATATGGTATTTGTCTTTCTCTGACTTGTTTCACTTAAGGTTATACTACTTCCATCCAAGTCATTGCAAATAGAAAGATTTCATTCTTTTTTATGGCTAATATTCTATTGTGTGTGTGTGTGTATATATATATACCATATATATATATATATATATATACACCACATATATATATATGCCACACCTTCTTTATCTATTCATCTATTGGCAAACACACAAAAAAAGGATTCAAATAAACAAAATCAGAAATGAGGAGAAATACCTTCTAACATCACAGAAATGCAAAATATTTTAAGAGAATATTAAGAAAAACTATATGCAAACACACTGAACAACCTAGAAGAAATGGACAAATGCCTAGAAACATGTAACCTTTCAAAACAAGCAGGAACAAATAGAAAATCTGAACAGACTGGTTACCAGCAATGAAATTGAATCAGTAATCAAAAAAGTCCCAACAAACAAAAGTCCAGAACCAGATGACTTCACAGGTGAATTCTACCAATCGTTTATATTTTTTTTAATGTTTTATTTATTTCTGAGAGAGAGATATAGAGACAGCATGAGCAGGGGAGGGTCAGAGACAGAGGGAGACACAGAATCTGAAACAGGCTCCAGGCTCTGAGCTATCAGCACACAGCCAGATGCGGAGCTTGAACCCACAAACCGTGAGATCATGACCTGAGCCGAAGTCGGATGCCCAACTGACTGAGCCACCCAGGTGCTCCTCTACCAATCATTTAAAGAAGAGTTAATACCTGTTTTTCTCAAACTATTCCAAAAAATAGAAGAGGAAGGAAAGCTTTCAGATTCATTCCATGAAACCATCATCACTCTGATACCAAAACCAGATAAAAACAGTACAAAAAAGGAGAATTACAAGCCAATATCTCTGATGAACATAGATGCAAAAATCCTCAACAAAAGAGTAGCAAACTGAATCCAACAATACATTAAAATGTTTATCAATTTTGTTGATCTCTTCAAAGAATCAGCTCATATTTTCATTGATCTATTCTATTGTCTTGTTTTGGGTTTTTTTTTAGTTTCTCTTTCATTTATTTCTCCTCTAATCTTTATTATTTCCTTCTTTCTACTGGTTTGGGGTTTTGTTTGTTCTTCTTTTTCTAGCTCCTTTAGCTGTAATATTAGGTTGCTTGACATTTTCCTTGCTTCTTGAGGTAGGCTGATATTGCTATAAACTTCCGTCTTAGATCAGCTTTTGCTGCATCCAAAGATTTTGAACCATTGTGTTTTCATTTTCATTTGTCTCCATGTATTTATTTCCTCTTTGATTTCTTCCTTGACCTATTCATTATTTAGTACTGTGATTTAACATCCACATATTTGTGTTCTTTCCAGATTTTTTCTTGTGGTTGATTTCTATATTCAGAGTGTTGAGGTTATAAAACAGCATGGTATGCCTTCAATCATTTTTAATTTCTTAAGACTTGTTTCATGGCCTAATATGTGATCTATTCTGGAGAATGGCCCATGTCATGTCACTAATTCTTAACAATGGGACATGAGCTGAAGTGATGGGTCACTTCTAATCCAAAAAGGATGTACCTTATCCACACCCTCTCTCCCACCCATACAGTGATAACAAAGTACTCTGAGACATCAGAGTGGCAAAAAGGAAGCAACATGGACCCAAGTTACCACGTGGAGGAGAGCCAAGCAGGGGAGCTACCTGACCTACATTGGTCTATGATATAAATATTTAGAGAAATAAACCTTTGCTGTGTTAAGCCCCTGAGATTTTCAGGTTTATCTGTTCCACAGAATAGCTTAGCCTAGCCTGGCTACTACAGTTTACTTAATTAAGATTTTAGAATCAAGAATGTCATTTAAAACAGATAGATAACTGAAGTTTAATTCTTCACACACTTCCTTTTACGTAACTATCCTCATCCCACCTCCCAAACATACACAGAAATACACACTACTTTTCCACACCTTTTCTTGAGTCCACTAAGCATCCTATATCTAATAGATGTCCGTTCTCACAGAAGTCTTGTTCACGTCAATTCTGCTTCATCTTCTCTCTGCAGCATTTAGGAAGTTGAAAACAGAGAAGGAAGATAGGATAAGTTTAAAACACAAATTTAAATGATGATAAGAATATTGGGAGAATCCTCTATTTTTCAGCAGTAAAAATCATTGCATACTAAACATACCACTTCAAATGTTCTGTTAAGAATTCAATAACCCATTGCTATAAAAAGTCTGCCAAATCAAAAATATTTGAGATTTTCAAACGAGAGATCTTTCTTGACTAAAAAATCATAAGCATATACGTTATACCAACTATGTAAAAATAAATGCTGAAAGAGTCAAACACTGAGGGGATAAAAGGGATAGACATGCAATAAATCACTGTTGAATTTCATTATTTCGGGTATCAATTTATACATTTTTCCTACCTCTGTCTTCATGGGCATAATCCAAGTACCGATCTTCCTTTACTTGAGCTACCCCAGCCATCACCCTGGAGATGTTTAACACTGAGGCATCCTTCCTGTTAGATGGCTTAGGGAAGGAGTTGTTAGATCTCCAATTCTAACCTGAGCCCCTTATATAACGCCTCATATCCAAGATGCTATTTCCCAAAATGACCACTAATTTCCTTTGTGAACCGTGAATCTTTTCTCCTTAAGTTCCTATTAAGTTCCTGTTTGTGTGTTAACAGGAATTTTTCCTTGATGCCTATTTCAACTTATTGTTCCTAAACTTGTTACAACTAACCTTGTATCTACTACCCCCATTAAGAAACCCTACCCCCTAAGTTTGGAGCCTATATCCAAGGATAGTTAACAATACATGCATCTTTAAATCTACAGCATCTTTAAATCCCCACAACCACACTTTTAAGGTAGGTACCATTATCAGCTCCATTCTGCAAGTGAGAAAAGTGAAACCTAAAGGTTAGGTAACTTGCCCAGAATTTCCAGGCTAGGAAGTGGCAGGGTCACTGCTATCTGACACTATTTAATTTTTTAAATATAATTTATTGTCAAGCTGGCTCACATACAGTGTGTAAAGTGTGCTCTTGGTTTTTGGGTAGATTCCCGTGGTTCATTGCTTACACACAACACCCAGTGTTCATCTCAACAAGTGCCCTCCTCAATGTCCATCACCCTTTGACACTATTTAATTTGAGGAATTAAATGTACCACAGTAGAATGGGTTTCAATTATACTGTGAGAGTGATCATTGAGTCCACAGACCACATGATGTTCCTAAACTGTCTAGGACCTCCCAGTCTTAGGTGCTCTGCTCAAGAGAGACCTGAGTATCTGGGTGTGTGACAGTGGCAAGTACAGGAAAGGGAATCCAGCCCAACCAGGAAAAGGTCTTACCCAGGTTAGTCCATAAATGGGCAGCTTAGATACAAAAGCAGAATCTAGGGTTAATTTTTCCATCAGTAAATCAAGAAAAACAAGTGTAAATTTCATAATTTTTGGTTTAGCCAAATGTTTACACAAGCTAATCCAAAAACTGAGTGCCCACACGTGGAATCCAGTTTGTGTGATGTCTGCACTGTCAGGACTGGGTTGGATGAAGGGGGTCAGAAGGGCTCCTTAAAGGAATCTGAACAGCTACTGACCATCTTCTTAGTGCTGGCTTGATCCTATCTCATTTCCCCCCTCACTCCCTTCTTTCTCCTTTCGGAACCACAGTTAATCAATTTCAAGATTGATTCTTTATTGTTGTAAAACTATAGCATATTCAGAGTAAGGGGAAAAGACAAGATTCCAGTTCTTTGCATATGATATAGATAGATAGATAGATAGATAGATAGATAGATAGATAGATGTGAAACTGAACTGAAATACTCTATTTGGTGCAAGATAACTACACTTGCACTCATTTATTTAGGCAATATGTAGTTATAAACTAAATTTAACATCAACTATCAAACCTTGGATTGGATAAGAGCACCCTCCTCAGGCCACAACTAACTTACTGAATTATATTAATAGTGCTAAACTGTTGCCTAGCTTCCAAGATGAGGAAATTGTGCAATAGTAAGTGAAAATTGCAGAAGTATATGCCAGCCATCCCATAATTACCCCCCAAATTCTCATTTAATAAAGACAATTGCTGGGCAATGTTCTGTGTGTAGATAGGGAAAAGAACTAAAGTAAAAATGTTTTATTTCAGGTTCCACCACTAACTGTGTGACCTTGAGTAAGTTCATGAGCCTCTCTTAGCCTCCATTTATTTATCTCTAAGATATGCATAACCCTTACTAAGTCTGCCTCACTAGGGTCAAGTAAGATACATCTCAAAGTACTTTGTAAAATACAAAGCAATTTGAAAAAAAAAGAAAATACAAAGCAATTATAAATGTCAGGTATTACTAGTATTAATGAGATAGCATAAGCAATCACTTCATTTTGTTCAGATATAGAACACAGTACTTGACAAAAAAAGACATTCATTATTTCTGCATAATAGGTATCCACTCGTTTAAAAAGTGAACAAAATCTTCAATTATTTTTTTTAAAAGCACTGTAGAGGATCTTTGCTACCTGTAGGGATGTGTGCTTCAGACTCATATCTTAAGTGATCTGCTTTTTAGCTCCTTGTTGAGGCTTTGAATAATTTAAATTAGAGATCAGTGTCAACAAAGACTCATTCAGCATCAGAGGTAGGGCACTGTGTTAGGAATTCAAAGAGAGCTCAGTGAAAAGCACTGAATTTGTATTTAAATCTTAGATGCTAGGAAGCACCTCAAGAGATCATCTAACGTACAAAGTTTCTTTTACAGCTCCTGTGTCAGAGAAAGATTTCAAAGGATAACAATCTGTTAATTATGACTAACCTCTAGAAAGTGTGGTGAAAGGTAGGACCATCACATCTATACTGTTTAAAAGTTTTAAATAATAAATGCATGTTATGTTGCCTTTAAGAAATCAAACAAAATAATTTGGAAAAGCTGGTAAAGTTTTTAAAAAACTGAAGCCCAAAAGTATAGTCAAAACCTTAGTTTCAAAGAACATTCTAGAGATGATGCCCTGCCTAACATAAGACTTCAGACTTCTTAGCTTGCATCTCACCTTTAACTATATTAAAAACAATGTATCTTGCATAGTTTTAGATGAAATATCTAAATTTTTTCACTGTAACTATAAATATTTTCAAAGGATATAATTTTTGGCACACTGTGAATATTGATATGTTTAAATGTATACAGTTGAATTCAAATATCACAGTGATTTCATACCCATTTATCACACATTAATAAACAAGCTCCTCTCTAAAAGCTGAAAATGATACAGCATTTATGTTTGTCTTTTAACTCTGAACCAGTCAAAGTTCAGTGCAAGAAACAGAAGCCCAGAAGCCCTGTGAGGTGCCTGGCTGGCTCAGCCGGTAGAACTCTATCTCAGGGTTTTGAGTTTGAGCCCCACATTTGATATAGAGATTAGTTTAAAAATAAATTAATTAATTAATTAAAAGTATATATAAATAAACAGAAGCCCCTCAAGGCCTTTTAAGCAGAAAGAAATTTAGTATAGAGTATCAGGTTCTTACAAAATCACCAGAACAAGTTCTTAGTAGGCTTCCCAAAGTCCAGTCTGGGCAAATCTATAGAGACAGAAGGTTAAAAGCCTAGTTTCCTAGGGCTGGTGTGCGAGTGGAGGGAGTGACTGGATTTTTGTTGTTGTTGTGATTTTTAAGTTTAATTATTTATTTTGAGAGAGAAAGAAACAGAAAGCAAATAGGAGACAGGCAGAGGGAGTGAGAGACAGCATCCCAAGCAGGCTCCGCACCATCAGCACAGAGCCCAATGCAGGGCAGGGCTCAAACTCATCAACCATTAAGCCTGTAACCTGAGCCAAACCTGAGCCAAAATCAAGAGTCCAACACTTAACCAACTGAGCCACCCAGGAGTCCCAGGAGTGACTATTTATAGGGTAAATCGCTTCACTAGAACACAACCTTGTCCTTTCAGGTACTGTCTGCAGCTACTTTTGCAAAAGTAAAGTCCGTACTTGCAGACTTTGCACTGTAGTTGCAAAGTCTGAAATATTTACTAGCTGGCCCTTTAAGAAAAAGTTTGCCAACCTCCCTTTGATGCATAGATGTAGTGTTGAACTGTCAGAAAAAATATGTAACTTTTCACCTTCTCTTCTTCAAATGAAGCTAAATAAGCATCCAGGGCACAGAATGAGACACGGGGGAAAGCATGTCCTGACCAAGCTGTTTCTCACTAATAAGAATTGTAGGGGCACCGGGATGGCTCAGTCAGTTAAGTGCCTGACTCTTGATTTCAGCTCAGGTCATGATCTCATGGTTCATGGGTTCGACCCCATGTCCAGCTCTGTGCTGACAGCGCAGAGCCCACCTGGGATCCTCTGTCTGCCCCTCTCCTGCACTTGTGCACTCTCTCTCTCTCTCAAAAATAAACTTAAAGGGGCACCTGGGTGGCTTAGTCGGTTAAGCGTCCGACTTTCGCTTAGGTCATGATCTCGCGGTTCGTGGGTTCGAGCCCCGCATCGGGCTCTGTGCTGACTGCCAGCTCAGAGCCTGGAGCCTGTTTCAGAGTCTGTGACTCCCTCTCTCTCTGACCCTCCCCTGCTCACGCTGTCTCTCTCTCTCCTAGAAATAAATAAAACATAAAAAAATAATAATAATAAAAAAATAAACTTAAAAACTTTTTGTAAAAATACAAGAATGGTCCTCCTTGCAGGTTAGAATTTCCCAGCATGCTTCTTACAAACTTTAAACATTTGAAATCTAAGAGCTAAACAGTTTTACTTTTTAATGGCAATATTTAGAGTACACCAGAAATTGCATCCTTTGCAACTATTTAAACTTATGATGAAAAAATTTTAGATGTAAACTTAAAAATGTATGTGGACGGGCATCTGGGTGGCTCAGTCGGTTGAGCATCCAACTTCAGCTCAGGTCATGATCTCACAATTTGTGAGTTTGAGCCCACATCGGGCTCTGTGCGGACAGCTCAGAGCCTGGAGGCTGCTTCAGATTCTGTGTCTCCCTCTCTCTCTGCCTCCCACCCCCACACACTCTCTCTCTCTCTCTCAAAAATAAATAAACTTTAAATTTTTTTTACTGTATGTGGAAAACATGGCTGTTTTTGTTTCAAAAATTTTAGAGAGGACATGCAAGCAAAAAAGTTTAAAGACCAGTAGCCTAAAGAAGAAAGTCATCTTTGATTTTAAGCAAGAATCCCAGATGGAGTTATGAACTCCCTCTCCCCAACTGGAATTCCCCTAAAAGTTAGTTATCTTCTTTTATTATTTTTTTAAATGTTTGTTTTGAGAGAGAGAGAGAAAGAGTGGGAGAGGGGCAGAGAGAGAATCCCAAGCAGTCTCCATGCTGCCAGTGTGGAACCTGATGCAGGGCTCAATCCCACAATGCTGGGATTATGAGCTAAGGCAAAATCAAGAGTCAGATGCTTAACTGAGCCACACAGATGCCCCAATCTTCTTTTATTATTATCAAGGCACTCAGGGTCTCTGTTCATTCAGTATATCACATTACAGAGGTTTCCAGAAGAAAAGTTTTTGTACAAGTCATTCTGTATGTGGATACATAAGTGAAAAGGAAACTAACATTTACTGAGCATTTACTATTTGCCAGATTCTCCATATAAATTATCTCATTAATTCCTCATAATTATAATTATACTGTGAGTCACATATTATTATATTAATTCTATTTTTCAGCTATAAACTAAAACTGATGTCAAGTGCATTTATGTAATGTACTTAAACCCATACAGCCAATATGCAGCAAAACTAGGATATGAAACATGAACCCAAGACTGACGTAAAGCCCATGTACTTTCTGCTCCTTGCGCTGTTTGGCTCAGCTTTCTTATATCTCAGGCCTATATTTATGTGTATCTGAATCCATGATACTCAAGGATTCTGGAACCTACAGTGATAATACTTAGTTCCTAACAGTCTGTGGTACTTAGTTCCCCTTCAAGCAACAGGAGCAGTCAAACTACATAACAACCAATGGGACACCAGCACCAGGCACTCCCAACAGATGCTGATCTAAAGTACGGGTATACCTGGGTTTACCAGCTGAATACCAGCCCTGACTCTACCTAAAACCATAACATTTTTAGAAAAATTGCAAAAAATAAATCTGCCCAACCATCTCACTTTTCAGATAAAGAAGCTAAAAACTAAGAGATTAATGTCTTGCCGTATGTGACACCATCAGTTTGGGGCTGGGCCACATTAGAACGCCAGTCTCCAGAGTCTCCCATATTTTAACAACCAATTGGTGAGTATGTAAAGGACTGACCCAACTCTGCTTTGTTTCTTTTAGAATCGAAAAGAACTCGAGGTAGCTTCATGTTTACAATCAGTCTCCAGCGCTAGAGCATGAGCATTTCAGGATGGCTTCACATAAGCAATTAAAAGTTCTAAATAAATTTGTGAATATCTGTTAAATGATTCCAGTCCTGATACCTGTCCTACTTCTCTTCCTTTTGTGCCTCATCATCCACTGCTTGCATTTTACCAGTGGAAAACAGCGCACCTTACAGCACATGCAAAAAACCTGGGAATCTTGTTAAATTGCAGTCTGATTCATAGGTCCAGGGTGAAGGCCAAGATTCTGCATTGCTCATGAGCTCCCAAGTCCAAGTGATGCCAGTATTGCCACACTTTGAGTAGGAAGACTTAGACAAAATTGCATAAGGAGTGTTACTTTACACAAGGATTTTTCTAAATTAAAAAAAAAAGTAAGAAAGATTAGATGGCGTTCAGGATTACCCAAATTAAAGGCAATTTCTAAAATCTCTATTTTTGAGCATTGAACTCTAACCAGTAAGCAATTAGCTTCATCTGATGTACTGGGAAATGAATTATCTCACCTCCTTAGTGGACATAAAAAGTATTTCTTATACTTTAAGAGGTTACATTATCTCTTTAATAAAAGTAACGATACTGCCTAGAAGAATACCTACTGGAAATGTATGCTGTGGTTTTCTCATGGCAAGGAAATCATAAGATTCTACTTCTCTTTTACCGAGCTCATTACTTTATACTGCTTTCTAAAAACAACTCCACCACCAAGTGGACAATACAAAAATTAGCTTATATGATACAATATTCAGGCTTTTTCCAACTCCATCCTTCAATTTCACAGGTTAGTGAAGGATTATTAATTCTGGGCTAATTAAGGGAACCCCGGCAGGACTCCCTAATTCAAGATGGACACCCTCAAAAAATAAGCCATATTGAAGAATCACTTTCCAGTACCTTTTAAACAATGACATCTGAACAGAACTGACCATGCTGATCAGGAATATATAACAAAATGTAAACATTTCCCCCATGGATGCCAATGATTAGAATACACAGTCAAAGTAATTTTCTAACATAAGAAATCATGCTAAGTATTAATTCACAACCACAGATCTTGAACAATGAAGGCAACATGGTTTTCACTGCTTTTTTCTTGGGTTTTTGTAATTCTATACCTACTTCAAAAACCAGGAAACAGAAACAAGCAACCTTATAAGGAAATATAATAGTGGGAGCACGGAGGCCCTCCCACTGTGAGGAGTGTATTGTGCCCCTCCCCTGGACTTGGTCATATCATTTATTCTCGATATCAGCAGATGCAATACAATCAGAAGCTTGGAAGAGCATGTTTGACTGAGTTTTTTTATTCTTGCTTCTCTACTATCTCATGAGAACATGCCTTGGATACTCTTCTGTATTTATCTATTTATAGAATTTGCATTTAGAATCTTTACTTCCATAAATAATTTCCCTCTATTTTGTTTTAGCTATACTTTACTACCCTATACTTTGACATGTTCATCTGAAAGAATGGATCATTCATCTGAAAGAATGGATGTATTACTCTTGTGATTTCTACTTTGACCCACTGGTTATTTTAGGAATGCATTATTTAATTTTCATATATTTCATATGTATTTTCCCAAAATTCCTTTTGTTATTGATTTCTAATTATACTGATTTATGATTATAGAACATATTTTGTGATGATTTCAATCCTTTTACACTTATTGAGGCTTTTTTTTATGGTCTATCCTGTAGAAGGTTTCATGTGTACTTGAGAAGAATGTGCATTGTTTTGGGATGGGGTGTCCAATAGTTGTCTATTAGTCTAGTTGGTGTGTGTGTTACACAATTCTTCTATCTCCTTGTTGATTATCTGCCTCGTTGTTCTACCCATTATTGAAAGTAGGCATTGAAGTCCCAACTGTTATTTTTCAATTTCCTATTTTCTCCTTCAGCTCTGGGAGTTTTTAGTTCATACAATGGGACATTCTATTGTTATGTGCATAGATGCTTATGTCTTCCTGATGTATTGCCCCTTTAATCATTATAAAACATCCTCTGTCTCTAGTAACATTTTTTGTCTTAGAGTCTGTTTGTCTCATATTAGTATACCTACACCACCACCTTTGATTGCTATTTACATAGAGTATCTTTTTCCATCCTTTTATTTTCAAACTATTTGTATCTTTTAATTTAAAGTGAGTCTCTTACAGACAACGTACAGTTGGATCATGTTTTTTAATTCATCCTACCAATCTCTGCCTTTTATTTGGAGAGTATGATACATTTATATTTAATTACTGATAAGATATACATCTCCCATTTTGCTATTTGTTTTCTACTCTCTGATTTTTTTTGTTTTCTTGATTTCTATGATATTGCCTTCTTTTGTGTTAAAAAGATATTTCTGGTGTACTATTTTAACTCCCTTGTCAATTCTTTTATTATATATTTTTGAGTTAGTTTCTTACTGCTTGCCCTGCTGATTACCAGTAACATCTTAATTTATAACAATCTGGTTCTGATTAGTACCAACTTAATTTCAATAGTTGATTTTTTAACATGCTTTAAAACTGGCTCCATTCCCTTCTACTCTTCTATGTTGTTGTTATAAAAATAAAAAACTAGATCTGTATACTTTGTGTGCTCATCAACATACATTTATAGTTATAGCTTTATCATTGCCTTTTAAATCAGATATGGGGGAGGAGTAACAAACAAAGGCTACATTTATATTATCATTTAAATTTAACTATGTGTTTACTGGTGTTCTTTATTTTTTCATGTGGATTTGAGTTACTGTATAGTGTTTTTCATTTAATTTTTCTTACAGGGCAGATCTGCTAATGATGAGCTCTCTCAGTTTCTATTTATCTGGCAGTGTTTTTATTTCTCCTTGCCAGATATAGATTTTGTGACTAACGGTGGTGTTTTTTCGTTCTTTTTTTTTTTTCTTTCTTCTTTCTTTTAGCACTTTGAATATGTCATTCAATTGCCTTCTGCCTTCTATGGCTTTTGATGAGATTTCTTTTTGATGAGAAATCAGCTGTCAGTGAGATTCCTGTATATGTAATGAATCTTTTCTTGCTATTTTCAAGATTCTTTTTTTAAGTTTATTTATTTATTTTGAGAGAGACAGAAACAATGTGAATAGAAGAGGGGCAAGAGAAAGGGTGAGAGAGAATCCCAAGCAGGCTCCATGCTGCCAGTGCAGAGCCCAATGCAGGGCTTGAACTCACAAACCATGAGATCATGACTTGAGCCAAAGTCAAACTCTTAACAGACTGAGCCACCCAGGTGCCCCCATTTTCAAGATTCTATCTTTGACTTCAGCTTTCAACAGCTTGATTACAATATGTCTAGGAGTGGATCCCTTTGAGTTTACCCTACGTGGAGTTTTTTGAACTTCCCAGGTGTTTAGATGAATATTTTTCATCAAATTTGTGAAGTTTTCAAACATTATTTCTTCACATATTTTTTCTGCCTTTTTCTGCTCTCCTCTCTCTGGTATTTCCATTATGCTTATGTTGGTAACATTTGTTGGTGTCCCACTGGTTTTTAAGGCTTTATTCACTTTTGTTCATTCTTTTTTCATTCTGTTCCCCAGAATGAATAATATCAACATATCCATCTTCAAGTTCCCTGATTCTTTTTTCTGCCTGTTCAACTGTTGTTGAGCTCCTCCAGTGATTTTTTTTTCATTTCAGTCTTTATATTTTAAACTCCAGAGTTTATATTTGTTTCCTTTTCATAACTCCTATCTCTTTATTGATATTCTTTATTTGGTGAAATGTCATTATTACACATTAACTCTTTAAGTAGATTTGCTTTATTTCTTTGGAATATCTAAAACAGTTGATTGAAAGTCTGTGCCTTGTAAGTCCAACATCTGGGGTTCCTTAGCAACAATTCTATTGATTTTTTCTTTTCCTTTTATGGAGCATATTTTCTTGTTTCTGTGTATGTCTCATGATTTTTTGTTAAGAACTAGACATTTAAGGGGCGCCTGGGTGGCTCAGTTGGTTGAATGTCTGACTTTGGCTCAAGTCATAATCTTGCAGTTCATGAGTTCGAGGCCTGTATTGGGCTTGCTGATATCAGGACAGAGGCTGCTTCAGATCCTCTGTCCCCCTCTCTCTGCCTGTCCCCCACTAGCATGTGCTTTCTCTCACAAATAAACATTAAAAAAATCTTTTAAATGGAACTAGACCTAGACATTTAACATAATACAATGTGACAACTCTGACATATCTATGACCCCCACCTTCAGAGTTTATTGTTGTTCCCACCTTTTATACTTAGTTGTTTGCTTAGTGACTTTTCTGAACTAATTTTATCTTAGTGTCTCTTAGCTTATCGGTCAACTAATGATTGGACAGAAATATCCTTAAACACCTGGAACTAATAAATCTCCCAGCCTTTGCTGGAGTAGCTCTGTGTAGTGATGGAGCATGTCTTTAAAACTCAGTTTATAATCCCACCTCAGTCTTCACTTCCTACTTGCATAAAACTTTAGGGTCAATCAGACATAAGAGCTTAGGGCTTTCTCACATCTTTCCCAAGCATGGTCAGAGCTCTTCCATGTAACATGGCCTTCTAGATTACCAGGAATATGTCCAAGTTCTTCAAAGCCCTTATGGAAAGTGCATTCACCAGCTATTCCTTTTAAGCTTTTGGTGAGTCTATTGTTTGCTCAACTGTTATCTATCACATAAGCATCTGCAATTTAAAACCCTTGCCCGTAATTGTTTTCTGGCAATGTTCCCTGTGAGAGGGAAAGTTTTTAGCACTGAGTGAGTTTTGACTCATCCTTGTAAGTGAATTCTTCCAGAGAAGCACTAGACAGATCAGATAATGACAATTCTATTCTATGGGAATGGTCTGAAAGAGTTCCAAATTCATTCTGCCCTCTCTAGTGTCTGCCAAGCTGCCCTCAGGAATGTGGGCTGTTATTTTTTAAGGCTACTGCATAACTGGAAAGTGGGTAGTGGGGTTAGGGTAAGTTATAATGCCACAGAGCCCACTGTTCTTACTAAGATTCAGCCACTTTTCTTGAGTAAATGATCCTTGGGTTGGATCCTTGGATT